GTACTCCTTTTTAAAAGGCCGGCAACGCATCTGCCATTCCCCTGGTGTTGCAGTTGTTCATGGGCGGCGGTAGTCACTTACAATCAGGTGAGCCGCATGCTCGTTTGCCCCCACTCCTATAAAAAATTAAGAAAACCTTTGTCGCTCTTTGTTTACTGCGTCGCCTTCTATTATTACTTCCCGTTTGTATGGTCTTGTTATACCACACACTTTTTACTTGATTGATGTATGATTTATACACAATCTTTTTTTTTTATATAGGAGAGGGGGCAAACGAGCATGCGGCTCACCTGATGGTAAGTGACTACCGCCGTCCATGAATAACTGCAACACCAGGGGAACCAGGGGATTGCAGATGCGTTGCCGGCCTTTGAATTTTGAAAATCTTGAGAAGAAAACAGAGATTTATTAAGATTTCACAATATACGGAACATAGTAAAAATATAAGGTTAGGTCACGCGACCGTATTGGTAGGCAAACTCCAAAGCACTGAGAATGTAGAATATTAATAAATAAAGTAAGTCGCGCATAGTTTAATTATTAAAATGCCGACGCGGGAGAATGCACGGTGTTGCACCATACACCGTTTATTCAAAAATTATGCTCGCACATTCTCTTCCCTTTCCGATTTTCGACTATGCTAATACAAGCTATGTAGACATAACTCAAGACCAGCTAAATAAGCTTTAGAGACTTCAAAATACTAGTATTTGTTTCACATTTGGATTGCGCAAATTCGACCATATTTTCCAATTTCGCTCACTTCACAAGTGGTTACCTACCCTAAGAACATTCTTTCTATTCTGTACTGTGTATTATTTCACCCTCCTTTTTTACTTATAATAAGCCAGTGCTTGACCACAATTTCATGGTAAGTGTTGATGCAGCCCTAGATGATATATCGCACTGTCTTAGCGTAACAAAAGCCTATTCACTCTTGCCTTGAAGACGCCCAGATTGTATTCAGACGGAAAGATAGACGCCGGCAAATTATTCCACTCCTTTGCTGCACGCATTACAAAATACGAAGCACACAGTTTGGTTTTAATGCGTGGAATATCGACAACAAAGGGATGAAGACCCGCCGACCTCCTGGTTGTCCAATGGTGGAAAGGAGAGAGTGGAATTAAAGCGTGTAATTATTCCTGCGCACACTCACCAAAATGCATTCTATAGAATACCGAGAGACTTGCTATTCTGCGCCTGTGCTCGAGGCTGACTAGATTGGTTTCAACCAAATCAAGGTCACCTATAAGCCTCTTAGCACGTCTTAGTAATCCTCTTAGTCCAATGCTGCCACGTAGCATTTTGCAGCACCTGCCCATATATGACAGCAGTACTCCATGCACGACCGGACTTGCGCTTTATTTAAGGTAAGAAGCTGCCCCGGCGTGAAGTACCGCCGCACCTTTGCAAGGACAGCATGTTTCGTTGCGGCTGCTTTGGTTCTGAATTTAATGAACTGCCCATAGTTGAGATTCGGAGAAAATTCAACTACTAACAACTGAAGGCAGTCAGTGTACTCCAAGGATACTTTCCGAGTAAGTAGGAGCCAAGCTAAGCGGTGAAAAGACACGCTTGTATTTTGGTGACGTTAAATCTCACAAGATTGGCATCGCCCCATTCAGAGACTACCTGTAGTGTAAAATTCACTCGCTCAACCATAGCCCCTCTTTCTAATTGGATTTGATCCCGACTGGTCTTTCCACAACTGTGCTGTCGTCTGTATACCCATAGATACCGGATAAGAGCAGATCATTTATATGCAACAGAAGAGACTTGCGGAGAGATCGGACCCCTAAGGAACACTGGCGTTAGTATTAGATGAGCAACCATCGACGACGACCTGGAGAGACCTTTCACTCAGAAAGTCCTTTACCCAGATAATCAGGCCAGGGGATAAGCCGTACACTGAAAGCTTGCCCTATTGGGTAAAGTTAGTCTATTGACTAGCGTACCAAACCCTGTCAAAGTCCTTCAAACATCGAGGGAAACAGCAAGTGCTTCACCACTGTTTTCGAGGGCTTCGCCCCTTGTGAGAGTGGTATACTCTAGAAGGTCCCCAGTTGATAGATTTCAGCAAAACCCGTACTGGCGATGACTGAGGAGATCATTTCGCTCTAGGTATGCCATGAAGTGGGCGTTCAATCTACGCTCCATAATCTTGCAGAGTATGGAGGTAATTGAAATTGGCCGATAGTTGGCAGGGTCAGTACGGCTACCTTTTTTTTTTTGGGTACAGGCTGCATATTGGCCAGTTTCCAAAATTTGGGCACTATTCCAGTCCTGAATGAAAGGCAGACAAAGCGTGTCAACAGAGGAGAAAACTCAGGTGCACAGATCTTTAGAACTATAGCTGGTATACCATCAGGTCTACTAGCTTTGTTCACATCTAAACTTCGCAAGGTTTAAGAACCTCCTTGTTGGTGATACGGACCTCTGACATAGAGATACCGCAGTGAGGTAATAGAGATGGTACGCTATTGCTACTGTCCAGACGCGAATCGCAAGCAAAAAGAGAAGCAAATAAGTCGGCTTTCTCTTTAGACCCATGCGTCAGTGAGCCATCAGGTTTTACCAGCGGAGGTAGTGTAGACCGACAGAAGTTTGTCTTGACCGCTTTGGCGGGAGACCAAAAAGCTCTACTGCTAGATGGTTTGACAGAGAGCTTTTTACCGATGCGTTTATTGCGGTCGAAACTGGCTTGACGTAATGCCTATTTGCAGGACTTGGTAGCTTGGTTCAAGGCTCTCTTCTTAAGGCTAACATCCGGAGCTTTGTGGTCTCGAGCATCGACCCAGGATAAGTACGCCATATGTGCTTGTGCTTTTCTGCACGAGCACACTCTGCGTGAACCATGGGCGAGCTTTACCACCAATGGGCACGTCAGCTAAGGGGATTAAATTCACCATCGTCTGACGTATCAGATCGGTTACGACATCCGCGCAGCTCAACGGGTCTTCAGACGGGATGCAGACCTGCCGCCAATGATAAGATACAAAGAAATGCCGCATCTCATCCCAATCTGCTGATTTGTATCGACACACTCGCCGCACACCGTGGAAGTCGTTGTTAGGTGGGGAATATAACGACACAGATTTCACTAAATAGTATTCAGAATTTCCCAAGGGTGATGTAACCTGAACATTGTACCTGTCTTGATCGGTTGTCTTCTGAAGATCGACGCAATGAGCTGTATGCCCATACAAATCAGGTACCCAAGTAACTTTTTGTACCAGCTGGGAGAGCCCCAGCGACAAGGCATAATTCCACGCCTTTCTCTCAGCGTGGTCTGTCTTCTGAAATGAGAAGAGCTAGTCCTGATGACAGGCATTAAAGTCCCCCAGAAAAACTAACGGTGCATTAGGGTATGGATTTAGAGCCACATCAGTGGCTTCACTGAGGTGTTCAAACAGCCTAATTGTCTTCTAACCACTGCTATGCAGTCGGCAGATACAAGAATAAATAAGTTTATCCATTCCTATGTCTATCAAAACCCAGATCGTAGAGAAAGTGGAGTCTTCAAGGTGACGGAGACGCTTACAGCAGATGTCGTTGCAACAAAAACCTGCGTGGATTTTCGCTGTGCCGCATAGCAATATTGTAACATTTTTTATATAATAATTAAAAAAAAAATCGTAAACACAGACTCCGGTGCGCCGATGGAAATTATGCTCCAATGTGTACCCAAGGTAGCCAAGGTACGCCGCATCTAGAGGACAGCTGATCTGCGTCTCAGTCAAGAAGAGCATGTACGGCTTGTCAATCTCAAGGTGGTAATGGACTGCATTGAGATTACAGTGCAGGCCTCGGATGTTTATGAGGTGCACTTTGATGGAGATGGAGTGCAACCGCTGTACAAACTTACTCTTCTTTTTCCTGTTTTTCATAAATGGTGGGAGTGAATAGGTTGAAAGAATGGCAGTTGGACGAGGCGTCACATATATAACCTAGGGACGCAAACAGAGTCACAGTATCGATGGTACCTAGCACGGAGATCGTGGGGACGCTTGAACCCCCCTGAAAATCGCCTCCAGTCCGGTCTCAAGATTTTTCGTAAGATAGCGGGGCAGCCTTTCATGAGTGGCTGGCTAATTAATTGGGCCCCCAACTATCTACGGTCGGTCAGCGGTGCAACCGTGCTTTGGACCCCGCTAACCTCCTTAAGAAATGGTCCAAACCCATTCTTCCTAAGAAATGTGTTTCACCTAATATCATACCGGAACACGATTTGCATCATTTGGCGGTATGTCTTTACCTGGTAGGTGGTAACTAATCTTTGGCCGGGCCTCTCACTAGTAGAGGACCAACCTACCACGATTATGTAGTGCTGCTCGTTTAGCACTACCCAGGGGATACAAGAATAGAATTCAAGTAACTCCTACGGACGCGAGCAACTTCATCTCCCAACTTCTCCCTATCTAAAGGAGAAGTTTAATTTTGTAGAGCTTCCTGGGGAACCTTTAAGCTCTTCAAGAAAATTCATTTTAACCTTTAATTAGGCGCGCGGGGTCGCCGCGACCCCAAGTTATCTTCAAGTTAAGTTATTTTTTTAGCTATTGAAGGTGGCAACCCGAATTTTTTGCTAGCTTTCTAACTCTTTAGTCTGCACTCAATTCAGTGTCGCCCGCGCCGCGGAGTTGATCGCACACATTGCACGGAGGTGCTTGGGGTCGCGACGACCCCGCGCGACTAATAGTGTAGTTCAAATTTAGGTAAGTAAATATTTATATATTATGATTTTAAAGATTTTTTTCACCTTATCATGTCAATTTAGAAAATATTTATTCATGTAAAATACAAAATTGTGTAATTTTTTAAGATTTTGTTTGGTAAACACACGCTATTATTATGCATTTTCTCTATGCGTATAAACTACGATGATTTTTTCCAGTTTATCAAGTTGTTTTTAACAGTTTTTTATCTTTCACAGAATTATTTCAACATGGCCCAAAATAGGCAGAGTCTTCGACTTGAACAAATAAGTGCGATTCTTGTAGATGAAGAAGAAGCCTTCAATGAGACTGACCATGAGATGGGCCTAGAAGGAGACGCAGATACATTTTGGGAGCCAGAGTATGAATCGAACTCAGAATTAAGTGATACCGAAGAACCATCCACATCGACCTCATCCCAATCACAATCCGATTTATCTACGTATTTTTTGGGTAGAGATAAGAGCACAAAATGGAACAAATCTATTCCCAGCCAAAGAGTAAGACAAAGATCTTATAATATTGTTACCCATTTGCCAGGCTCAAAAGGAGCAGCAAGAGATGCGAAAAGTAAGACTGATTGTTTTTTGTTATTTTTTGATAAAAGTATTATAAAATTGATAATGAAACATACAAATGAGTATATATCTTTAGTTCGTCATAAATTCCAAAGGGAACGTGATGCCAAAGACGTAATTTATGAAGAAATGTTGGCTTTTTTTGGATTGTTGGCAATGTCCGGAGTTCTACGTTCGTAACATTTAAATTTTCTAGATTTGTGGGCAAATGATGGGACTGGGATAGAGTTTTCTTCAGACACAATGTCAGCAAAACGTTTTTTATTTATCCTACGTTATTTGCGTTTTGACGAAGCTAGTTCTCGACAATCTAGACTAAATGTAGACAAACTAGCTCCGATCCGTCAATTTTGTGACATTCTAAATGAAAATTTTAGAAAGCACTACACGGTTTCAGAATATGTCACTGTGGATGAACAGCTGCCTGCGTTTAGAGGAAGATTTTCAGGATTGGTATATATGCCGAGTAAGCCGAATAAGTACGGAATAAAGTATTATGCAATGGTTGATACTAAGACTGCCTATCTCCAGAAATTTGAAGTTTACGTAGGGAAACAGCCAGACGGGCCCTACAATATCCCTAATGACACAAAAAGTATCGTCAAACGATTGACCGAAACAATCAAGAATACAGGACGAAATATTACTTTGGATAATTATTTCACTAGTATTTATTTAGCTAAAGACCTTATAAAAGACAAATTGCCAATAGTGGGTACGTAAAGAAAAAATAAAAAAGAAATACCACAAGCATTTTTACCTGACAGACGTCGTGAAGTACACTCAACGCTATTTGGTTTTCATGACGACCTAACTTTGTGCTCCTATGTCTCAAAAAAATCTAAAGCTGTTGTAGTATTGTCGTCTATGCATCATGATGACATCATAGACGAGGGAGAATTGAAGAAGCCGGAGATGATTTTATTCTATAATAAAACAAAGGGTGGCGTAGATACTAATGACAAGTTGTGTTCCACATATAACGTTGCTCGACGGACGAAGAGATGGCCTATGGTTATCTTTTTTCATTTATTCAATGTGTCTGCTATAAATGCATTCGTTATTTATAACTTCAATAACAATGAGGCTACCATAAGGAGACGAATTTTTCTAAAGTTATTATCAACAGAATTAGTAAAAGCACATAGATTAGCGCGAGCAATAGTTCCGTCCCTGCCTAGCGCTTTGAAAAAGCGATTGTCAAAACCCGAAGCTGCGACTCCTTCAACGTCTAACACAGGATTGCACCCAGCAAAAAGAGGAAGGTGCTACATCTGTCCACGAAAAGGCGACAGGAAAACGACCGCAAAGTGTAATAAGTGCAACAATTTTATCTGTGGCGATCATACAAAGAAAATTTGTGATAATTGTTGAATTGCGAAAAACATATTTTTCTATTGTTCTAAATATCTTTCAAGAATTTTTTTGTATTTTTCTAAAAGCTTAATAAGAAATAGGTAGAATAAAATCAATTAAAGTTGATTACTAATTAAAATGTTCCTTATTTCATACCTATCAATATGGTGTAACTGCAGACCCCGCGCAGTCGCGTCAATAAACTAACACTGTTAGTCAACAGTGTTAGTTTATTGACGCGCCTAACTAAAGGTTAAGGGTACTCACAATATATCATTTTTTAATAAATCTTTTATTTTCCTGTCTATTAAGTTCTGAAGTTATTAAGTCCAACTTCGACCGAGATACCAACTCAACCCACGGATTCAACTTAGCTGGGCAGCGTTCGGGAAACTACGACACATCTTCTCATTAGGCATACCTCAAAACCTCAAAACCTGAAAACGAAATTGTACAACCAGTGCGTGTTGCCAGTGATCACTTACGGACCGATCTGAGACGTGGTTCTTCACTGCTGGCCGTATGCGGAAGCTCAAGATCGCTCAGCGAGCTATGGAGACGGCTATGCTCGGTGTTTCTCTGCGTGATAAATTTAGAAATGAGGATATCCGCAGTAGAACCAGAGTAACCGGCATAGCCCAACGGATTAATAAGCTGAAGTGGCAGTGGGCCGGCCATATAGCTCGAAGAACCGGCAACCGTTGGGGAAGAAAGGTTCTCGAGTGGCAGCCTCGTACCGGTAGGCGAAGTGTAGGGCGACCCCCCACTAGATGGAGTGACGACCTGGTACGACTCTTGCATGTCATGTCATAGTCGATGGATGCAGGTGGCTCAGGACCGTGCTTTGTGGCATTCCTTGTTCTGAAAAGCCCTACCTTTGTATATACGTGAAGCACAAATATTTGTAATATTTAAGCGACTATTTAAAGAGCATTACTTGTCTCAATCGTTCGGATATAGGATAAATTATATAATTAGGTATTTATTGTATTTATTAGCTTTGAAGCTAGGGTCCCACGGCCTGTTTTGTCACAGGTCAGACCGCGCCAGGCCGGACAGCGGGCCGTGGGAACCATCGCATCCGATGAGGCCTGTGGTGGCCTGTTGGCGCCCGTCCGATCCATCGGGAGTCAGTAAGATCAAAGGCGCGGCGCGGCGCGGCGCGACAGCGCCTGTCGCGGCCTGTACGGGCGCGTCTGCGTCGATTGTAATCGGTCATTTCAACTGCGGTGGGGCTTGCGCGTACATGCTCATGATGGAATGGACGAACGAGCTTATATTCGAGTTTTTAACTCTTTTATGAAAATGAACCAGCGCTTTGGAATATTTCGTCACCTCAACATAAAAACAAGAACGGTTTTTGTTGAATGATGACACCCACCAGCGCCGTTTTTTCTGCTTTCTTTTTGCTTGGTTTTTCAAACGTTCACTGAATAAAACCACCGCGGCCGCACACGCAGCCATGCGCTCCGTATCACTTCACATGTTGGAATGTCAGTCGACAGGCCGCACCAGGCCGGCACACGCCATGGGAACGCACAGTACGGGCCGCGACAGGCCCATACAGGCGGGACAACGCCTGGCGCGGCCTGTCGCCTGGCAAGCCGTGGGACCCTAGCTTTATAGTATATATGTAAGCTTGTTTATTTATGTATATTATTTTATTGCATGTATTGATAGTATACTATGTATATTTATATTCCACCACCTAGTTGTTTTATTCCTTTAAACCTTTGTTTGCCTGGAAGAGATCGCTATGTAGCGATAAGGCCGCCAAATTGTACATATAATCTGCTTTTTGTTATGTAATGTGTATATTTGTTTGTGGGGTAAATAAAGTATATTCATTCATTCATTCATAATGAAAGAAATATTGGGGTAATTGATAACAATTATGAGACGTAAAGGTAATTGTTAATAAATCAATACATTTTATTAAAATGTCGCGGGATAGTGGAAAACAAAAATATAATATAAAATTAAAGTTATATTTTAACCTTTTTTGAACTTATCTCCAATTTTTTAATTAATTTTGTTTTAAAAACTTTTTTATTCTTTTACACCTATCCCATTATTTTTCTTGCATCTTCGAGCATTTAGTTTAGGTTTAGATTTATTTGCCTTTCCTGCTTTGAACCGCCGAAGTTCTTCATTGCTAGCCAAAACTACTCCAAAAGAGCTACGCTTTAGTCTTGGCACCACAGCTTTTTTGTATTTCTGTCTACCTAATATTTTTTCTCTTTCAGTTACGGTGTAAAATATATTTGTCTTTACATGAAAATTTTCGTAGTAGAGCTTTTGATATACGCTGGTGTATTCCACTTCGAGCTAGGCTTATTCATCTGCCTTTTACTCTGTGAAATACGGCAGCAGAATAACATACCAGGATGGTAGTATAGATAATAAGATAATGTTAGTCACGGTATGTTCACCTTTTCGTATTATATCATTGACAGCCCTTTGAATATCTGTTAAAGGCTATGATAGACCTATTTCTTTATATAATTTCTAGGCGTTATGTGTATCATAAAAATAACTCTCTAATTAACAGTTACCACGAATACGCAATGAGTTACATTATTTTCAATTAACTCGATATTTCCATCTAATACAAATAATGTTGACATTTACTCCAGTAGATGGTATCATTGGGGTAAAAGTAAACTTGCGATTTCATACATAAATATGAAACATTCCCTGTAAATTACTTTTATTTCTCATGATCCTTAACATTGGTATAAAACAATCGTTAATACGTACTAACTATGTTTGGCCACACTAAAAGGTAAAATATTATCTCACGCTCTAAGAAAAAATATAACAAAATGTGCTTTCACCTTATCCAGATTTTTGCTGGAGTGACCTCTGTCATCATAATGCTGTATTGTCCATGGATAAAATTTACATAATGTTCTATGCAGAACTCTGAAATATTGTAATGAAATGATTTTGAAGCTCGTTTTCATTTTACTCCTGCTTACAATTACCCTGTCTGACCCAACGGGTCTTCACGCAATTTTTTAGAGAAAAGATAAAACGCTTATCTTATACGTCATTGGTAGAAAACTTACTGTAAACATTGATCCAGATGATGATCTAGATGGTTTGACGACCTGATAAGACATGCAGGCAGTCGATGGATGCAGGTGGCTTAGGACCGTGCTTTGTGGAATTCCTTGGGGGAGACCTATTTTCAGCAGTGGACTTGTGAAGGGCTGTAATGATGATAATGATAATGATGATGAAGCATTGATCGTGTAAAGCCGGCTTACATCGAAAAACTACTACTCCTGCGACCGCAGCATATACCGCGATGCTGCGACCGCTAATACTGGAGTATTAGCGGTCGCAGCATATACTGCGACCGCTAATACTCCAGTCTCCACTCTTATAATCCAACCCATCCCTACGTCACACAGTTACGTCATCCGAGACTTTTTAGTTAGAACAAGATCTTGCAGACGTGTAAGGTTTAGACATATTTTAGATATTTAGCAGTTATATTTTATTTACCATTATAATATACCCTAATTGTACTCCGTAAAACAAGCTGCCAAAACACAAAGTGTCTATTATTCTTTGGACACGTCACTACTGCGAACTGCTTAATTTGTAAAATATATACTTTAGGCTGTTGCTGTGCAATAACTTGTACTTTTATTACTATGTTTGGTAGCACTAACGATATAAAGTTCATCACTATTATTGCAGTTTTATTGAATATACAAGAACCATAACATAGTACCAGCACCAACCATAAATTAAATAAGAATTGTTTGCCGTTAGATTGCATTAAAAGTTGCTCATATGTACTCGTACATTTTGCAGTTGGCCGCAGAGCAAACAACATTACACTTCTAAAAGTATAATAATAATAATAATAAATAATAAATATTTATTTCATTTCGAATTACACATGTTGTCATACAGGAATCAGAATGATTACAATTAATAAAGTAACAATAAGTCTAACATAAATAACATGCTATGATAAAATTAAAACTATGTGTAGCTAAATAATGTAGAATCTACAAAAGAAGATAGAAAATTCATATTTATAATATTAGCTACCTGCCTGAACTAGGTTGAGTACCTGTGTTTCAGACATCACTTATACAATCGGTTTAATAATGTAGGACACTAGATATTTAAATAATTAAACTAAATTGTATAATAAATAAAATAACTAAATAACAATTATTCATTGCCTACAATTAATACAAACTATTTTAGTATATCTAACAACTTCTCTGTGTCTTCGTAATTTAATTTATTTAGAAATTCCCTTACACTTATATTACAGTCCTTATAACTTAGACTATATACCTTTAGTGACTTGTTGAGCTTGTTATATAGAAAGGGTCCTAAAAATATGTAAAATTTGTTCACAAATGCGTGTTTGGTTTGAGGGTTTACACAAACTAAGTCCTTTCTTCTCCTGTCTATGGATTTTAAGTTAAATGGAAGTTCGGTATGTTGTTTTAATATGATTTTCAGGATAAACAACTGACGGACAGTTAGTACACTACATGCCAAGTACAGTTGATGTGTAGGAATAGTATAAAAGTAGTATCGAGATGGCAAACTGAATTTTACCGTATAAGCGTTAGAGTGCGCCCTGAACTTAGGTACGTAATGCACGACGTATACTTACCGGCAAATAGCTCACAGTTTACTCGCCGCTGACTGTACATTAATAAGGTATTACGAGTAGTGCATACTGACAGACGACGATATATTGAGCCTGCCATCACACGCAATGCACACATACTTGAAATACATATTTATTTTCTTTTCGCATCTTATCCTGGCGCTTCCATGAGCACATTGTAAATGTGGTCAAGACAAGCGCCACAATTGAATAATAAACTTGTGCAATTAAATTTAATACTTATAGACATGTTATGTGCAAGAAAATGATTGGTTTCGCGGCATCTTATACCGGTATTTGAAAACAATTTCGAACTTAAATTGTTGTATGGCTTAGATCAAAATTTTGGTATTGTGGACTTTGAGTT